ATTCATGGTTCGGTGGTAAACATACAAAAATATAAAGAAAAGCAAGGGCGCAGCTACCATTCAAACCAGGAGAGTACCTACCCCCAGAGGGACACAGAGCAGTCATTCAGGGGGTCAGCAGTGGGCTGTGGGACCGGCCATGTTTCACTTTGTGACCCGAATGGTTTTGCACCGGTGTTTACTTGTGACATTCATTGAACTGTATGCTTTGTTTTCGTACATTTTTCTGCATGTACATTTTATTTCATGATATAAAAGTTTAAAATAGTATCGTTCATAGGATCCAGGTGCGGAGAACCTGGCATACGAAAAGTGCCCACTAAAGCCAGTGACTCCGATCATCATTGGATTGGGGGCATTTTGAATGTGACCCGCTCAAGTGTGTGGAGCTCAGCAGAGGGTTTGTGGGTGGCCCGCATAATCAGGCAGGTGTGTGAAACACAGGTGGGGTGCGCGATGTCAGGGGCTGAAGATCACGGGTCAGCCTGGGCAGGGCATCACGTCTCTCCCACTGAATCTTTCAACCAGCAGACCACAGAGTCCCCTGAACATGGGGGTCCAAGTTCAGGGACAGGAAGGTACTTTAGTGAGTCAAACTGAAAGCTCTGGAGGTTGAGGTTCAGCCAGTTGTAGCTCTAACCACCTCTTACCATTTCTCAGTGAGGCCTCGTTCAGAAAGATCCCTGGCCTGTGCATGCTAATCAGCCTTGGCCAGAGCGGCCCAGACCCAGGCCTCTTGGTGTGGTCACTCATTGAGCTGTGTGCATTGTGAGTCCGGAGGCAGAAGTGTGAGGGGTTCAGCACGTTTGCCTCTAGGCTTCAGAAAGCCTCTCACTGCCACCCCACGCTGGACAAAGCAGGGCAGGGATGATTTGCAGGGTGTGAGCTGCCACAGGCAGGCACCACGGGCTAGTGGCTTGCAGTGCTCCCCAAAGCCACCCAGACAATGAGGGGTTGGCTCCCCTGTAACCTGGCAAGACAACTTTTATTTTATTTTTTAAAGGATTTTACTTATTTTTAGGGAGAGGGGAAGGGAGGGAGAAAGAGAGGAGAAGAAACATCAGTGTGTGGTTGCCTCTCAGATGGCCCTGACTGGGGATCTGGCCGGCAACCCAGGCATGTGCCCCGACTGGGAATCGAACTAGCGACCCTTTAATTCACAGCCCATGCTCAATCCACTGAGTTACACCAGCCAGAGCAACCTTTGTTTATTATAGCAAGTGTATGGAGGTATAATTTATAGACAATTAAATATACCCTTTTAAAGCATATAGTTCAATGAGTCTGACAAATATGTATGTTCATGCAATTACCACCCTAATCCAGATATACATGCCTGTCACCCACAAATTTCCCTCGGCTCCTTACAGCCAATCCCCTCCTCCGGCCCTTGGCCTTGGCAACTGCTGGTCTGTGTTCTGTCCTTATTGTTTTGTCTTTTCCAGAATGTCAAGTGATGGAACCATTCAGGTTGCAGCCTTTTGAATCAGGCTTTACTCACTAAACACATTTGCTTTTGAGAATCCTCTGTGTGGTTGCAAGTATCAATAATCCCTTTTTATTACTCAGTGGTGTATTACTGTATGCATATATCACAATTAGGTGGACATTTGGACCGTTTTCTGTTTTGGCAATTATGAATCGAGCTGCTCCGTGCATTCACATACAGGTCTTTCAGTGGACACAGTTTCACTTCTCTTGGGTAAACACCCAGGACCAAGACTGCTGGGTTGTATGGTGCTCGTGTCTTTATCTCTCACGGAAACTCACAAGCTCTTTGATGAAGCGGGTATATTCCACCTTCGCTTTTATTCCCATTGGTGGAACTGAGCTCCTGTCACCAACGGCAGGACCACTGTGGAAAGACTACTAACTCGCTAATTCAGTGAGAATCTCACTGAATTTCACAGTTATGAAATAGTTGTAAAAATATTTGCTGTTTTTTTTTAAATTTTGCTGTTTTGATTCTTTAAGTATCAACCACAGCCTTAAGGATTGAGGAAGGAGTACCCATCCCTCCTGGGTGACCAACTGTCCCTGTTTGCCCAAGACTCTCCTGGCTTTAGCACTGAAAGTCTTATGTCCTAGGGAACCTCTCAGTCCTAGGACCAAACTGGGGCAGGTGGTCACTCTAACTATGGGGTGTCAGGTGCTATGCCAGGCACTGTACCTCCATCACATCATTTTATTCACAGGCTAGTGTCAAGGGTAGGGTTTCTTGTCTCATCTTGAGCATAAGGAAATAGCCTTTGAGAGGTTAAGTTGATTCTCCAGCTCACACTCCAGAATATACAGAACCAAATATCAGCAACAGGCCTGCCAGACTCCAAAGCACTGGTGTCTTCCAAGGCTGGAGACCTCATTGCCTAGGTGCTGAGGTTTGGGCCTCTCAGATATGGGCCAGCAGGTGAGCCTGGGCAGAGCTTTGCTGCCCTCTGGTGGCAGATATGGTGGCACTGTGGGTATGAGTCCATTCTTGTGGGGCAGGCAGAGAGGCTGGGAAGGTACCCTTTAAAAAGAGGGGGGAGAAAAGAGGCAAAAAAGGAGCAATTTATTTGAGGTGGCAGCTTTTTTTTTTCCTCCCAGGGAGGAGGACCTCAGATCTGGCCTCAGCCCTAGAAGGGTGCCCACGATGGCTCCCCTTAGCGTCTGCTGGGGGTCTTGGTCCAGCCATCCATGAGTCACATGATCACTTAGGGCCCCACAGACCCAGGGCCAGACTGCTGGGTTTGAGTCTGTATGACCCTGGGCATCACTGACACCTCTGGCCTCCAATTCCTTCTCTATAAATAAGGAAGACAACATGTTGACACATTTAGACTAGGCGTAGGCTGAGGGTGTTACCTGCTCCTTCATACCCACCTCCGTGCACTCATTCACTTCATTCAGTCACTTCACTTCCATCCAGCAGTTACCTGTTGTACCAAGCACCACCTCTGTGCCACACCCTGAGCTCAGGGTGCCAGGGAGATGGCTGCCCTCCTGGCTCAGTAATTTTCCAGTAATCGCCTCATGTGTTTAGTCCTCCTTCTTTCATTCATTCACCGTGAAATATCCATTTATTAATTGTGTTCATTGCTTTCCATTACAATTGACAGTCGATATTACTTTATAGAGTGTTCATTCATTTTTGTTTCATATTTTCATCCATTCATCATTTGATAATCTCATTGACATCCCTGTTCATTCATTCATTTTTTTTTTTCAGGCAGTTGTTGACTCCTTCCCTTCCTCCTGCCTCATTTCCCAGTTCTGCAAGCATTCTGGAAAGCACCACTATACTTTAGGCCAGGATTAGATGCTGGGACTCAGCTCTCCCCACACACCTGGGGGTAGACAGATGGTGAGGACACATCTGTCACAGAGACCCAGATCAGAGTAGAGCACTAAGAATAAAGCAACTGTTTGCCTGGAGGAGGGGGCTGGGGCAGAGGTTTCAAGGAGGAGGTAGCATTTCAGCTGAGCTAAGAAGGGTGTGTGGGAGTTTTCCAGGGAGGAAAGGACACTCCCAGGTAAAGCATTTGGTTTTTTGTTTGTTTGTTTTTGGTGTGTTTGGAGAAAAGTGAGGTACCTGGGTGGCTGGAGTGGGTGATATAGGGTTATGTGTCCCTGACCACACCTAGGCCAAGCCCTTCCTAGGTTCCAGTGACAGACCTAGGCCACTCAGGAACTTCCCTAATTCATCACTCTTGGCCCCTGGAAAACCACCCACTATCAGGCAGCCACGAATGGTCTGAGAGTGCTAATATAGCACCTGCCACAGGAATCAACTGTTCCACCCCGGGCCCCTCAATGGGCGAGCTATCCTGGGCTGAGCTGGCTGAGGCCACAGCGTCAACAGTATCTGATTCCTGGCTGCCAAGACCCCATGGCCATCCAGCAAATGTCTGAGTACCTTTCCGTGAGCTAGGCCTTGCCCCAGACACTGGAAATACAGCAGTGAACAAGACAACTTTCACTCTCTAGCAGGCAACAAAAGATAAATGAGAAAACCAGCTGTGAAGACCATCAAGAACATACCTGTGGGTGAACAAGTTGGGTTTACTACGTCTTTCTAGGAAGACTGCCCTTACTTCAGCAAGACAGTGGTGTGGTAAAGAGGACTTACAGGATTTAGGCTTAGGTTAAGTGATTTGGGGGAGGGTTCAAGTACTTGGGCTGCTATTCTGGATTAGATGCTCTCAGGAAGCAGATACAATTGTATGGTTGGATGTCTTAAATATTTAAAGTTAGAGGAATGAATTGAGGCCATTGCTGTAAAGAAGCAGCAGTTACTCATATTAGCCAGAATGGTGAAAATGTTCGGTCTTTTCCTTGGCTCCAAAGATACTGTTTTCTTCTGAGTTCGTCTGCAAAGACGATTACACAGCATTCTTGTTTACGTCTTGCTCCATCACGGTAACAGATTGGCCTAGTGTGATGTTGGTGTTCTGGGAAATTGCTGACGTCCAACAGGAGAGCACCAAGGCCTAGCTGTGAGGGCCAGGTCAGCTCCTAGACGTGAGGAGCTGCTTTTCTCTTTCTCGTAAGTAAGTCTCATTCACTCCGTGCAGGTTTGTTGGCAGGGTGCCAGATGCAAAGTAATTCGAGGTGGGCAAAAGACACTGGCTTCGGTCTTTAGGGAGCTGTTTGCACTTATCTTATATAAACAGATTGCCAGAAATGGATAGGGGAAGTGGACCAAACCCAAGGATCAGGACAAAGGCCCAGGGCGGGAGGGGAGGCAGAGAGACACTAGCAAAACAGCCTAACCGCACGCGACTATAGAGGTCGACTGGGAAAGCACGACCTCCCCTCGCCCAGGACTCTGGGTGTTCCGCTGCCCGGATTTGCCAAGAAACAGGAAATGAAATCACGCAGCGAAGATCAAAACAAAACCCACTCCGACTCCGACTCCGACTCATGAATATTCAACAGCCTGTTTCCAGGGTGCTACTAGGTCCCAGGACCGCCCAGCTGGGAGACTACGCTTGCGTAGCCGGCTCTTGGCTCTGTCGTCATACGTGCGCGCCGTCGTCGCTGCCGTCCGCTAGGAGCGCCGGAGGGGTGTCATGGCGAGTTCTACAGCCTCCACAGTGCGACCGCCGAGGCCCAAGAAAGAGCCGCAGGCGCTCGTCATCCCCAAGAATGCGGCGGAGGAGCAGAAGCTCAAGCTGGAGCGGCTCATGAAAAACCCGGTGAGACGAGACCATCGGCCCCTCCGAATCCTAGCCCCGTCCACTCAGGCGCCTCTGGGGGCCCCCTGGCCTACCTCCCCCACCTCCAAACTCAGGAATTCAGTGTCCGGGCCCCAGAGTCAGTCCACTGGAGTAGACCGCTCCGGAGACAGTGACCTTTCTTCTGCCATTATGTTACAGCCCAGCCAGGATTGCGGGGTGGGAGGGGGCGCTGTGGAGTGGCTTTCCTTGTTCCAGGACTTCTTCCAGTTTAACCTTTTGTGAACAGAAGCGTCAGAAACGTTAAACTGGAAAGACAGAGCTCTTGAATTAGTAAAGGGTTATCTTTTTCTAAACAGTACCTTGTTAGAGGGATTGGGGGCAAAGCACTCCCCCCACCCAGGCTTCAGTCCCCTCAGGCGTAAAAACAATCGGATGAGAAGGTCTCATCTTTGACTAGAAAGGACTGCCTTTTCTCGTGTAGTAGGGTTTAAGTTGGAGGCTTCCAGCTGTGCATGGTGACTGAACGTTTCTGAGTTCTTCTCTGGGAAGAGAAGTATAGCTTTGACAGTTAAGTGTAGCTTTGACAAGGCTGTGGCCTGTGATAGACCCCAAAGTATACAGGATGGAGTAAAGCTAAGACAGAGGGAAGGAGATAAGACGAGCTTTGAGTCCAAGGAGCAAAGCAGCCTTACCCCATTGTCTATTACAATCCTTTGGTTGTAAGAGATGTAACGTTGTCAGCAGGTTTATACTTACAAACGCTTTCCTGTTTAAATGTTTCAGGACAAAACAGTTCCAATTCCAGAAAAAATGAGTGAATGGGCACCTCGACCTCCCCCAGAATTTGTCCGAGATGTAATGGGTAATGACTTTGGGGGACTGTGTGTTTATGTAAATATAGTTTTTGAAGTGTAGATATAAAAAACCCTGCAGTTAGTGTATGTTAATTAGATCTCTAACAGGGAAAAATGTTCCCTGGTATAATAGTTTGCTTTCACAGTGAAGGAGTTTGGCATTAGAGAATTTTATTATGCATTGTTTTTAATAATGTCTCATGTTGGTTATTTCTAAATGGAAATAGTTTTATTTTGTTGGATTGTAAGTTAACATATAGTAATTATAAAGAAAAATAGCCCTGGCTGGTGTGGCTCAGTGGATTGAGCAGTGGCCTGGGAACCAAAGGGTCACAGTTTCGATTCTCAGTCAGGGCATATGCCTGGGTTGCAGGGCCAGATCCCCAATAGGGAGCATTCAAGAGGCAACCACACATTGATGTTTCTCTCCTCCTCTTTCTGTCCCTTTCTCGAGAAATAAATAAATAAAATCTTTTTTAAAAGGAAAGATAAATAATAAAATTGTTAGTTTGAACCACTTGTAATTTCATTGTTCTACTTGTAACATTCTGATATAGCCTTCCAAACATTTTTACAGCCAAAACCACTGCTGCTTAAGAAAAATGGTTTCGGAAAAACGTGACTGTTTCACTCATACTAATAGTAACCACACTTTGTCACTTAATAGATCATGGACATCTTCAAATAAGCAGAAATTTAGCCTGTCAAATATCAGATCATTTGGCGGGGAGGGAAAGGGCATAGCCCTCAACTAGGTTTTCAGTCACTGAACTGCAGTCTGTTTGTCCTTTTATTAGTGCATTAGCATGGAATTTTTAGTGACTTAACATTCACCATTTGTGCAACAAGTATTTAATGTGCTAGATTCTGTGGTATGTTGGGGAATAGGACAGGCCACGCCTTGCATATTTGAGTTTCTTTGGTCACTTTTATTTTTATTTTTTGTTATTTATTGATTTTTAGAGAGGAGGGAGGAGGGAGAAACATCAATTTGTTTTCCACTTGCTTATGCACTCATTGGTTGATTCGTGTGTGTGACCTGCCCAGGAATCTGACCCACAACCTTGGCCAGGTCGATGCTCTAACCAGCTGATCTACTTGGGCAGGGCTCTCTGGCTACTTCTTTTTTATTATTATTATTATTATTATTATTATTATTATTATTACTATTTTAATTGAGAGAAACATCGCTTTGTTGTTACACCTACCCATGCATTCACCAGCTGTCTCTTGTATGTGCCCCAACCAGGGATCAAACCTGCCACCTTTTTGGTGTACCAGACAACAGTCCAACCAACTGAGCCACCCCATCTAGGGATCTTTGGTCACTTTTAATGAAACATAGCCTATGTTGACAACTGGAGCTCACTAAGAACTCTGAACTGTCCTGGCTGTAGGTTCAAGTGCTGGGGCTGGAAGTGGAGAGTTCCACGTGTATAGGCATCTACGCCGGCGAGAGTATCAGCGACAGGACTACATGGACGCCATGGCCGAGAAGGTCAGTGAGCAAGGAGGCTGGCTGATCCCTTGGGTTCGGACAATATGTACTTATAACTTTTAGGAAAAAGGCTTTGGAAACAGAGTAGATACACGTGGTTTGTGTACTAGCTACCTTTTCAAGTTAGCGCCAGCAGCAGACATCCAGTAGAGTCCAGGTTACTCCTAGGTCAGACTCAGCACAAGATAATCACACTAGAAGATGAACGAGGGGAAGGAGAGTCCCCTTTCCCATCCAGGTCATTTGGCATGAAATGGAATAGAAAGCAGGATCTCCCACACACCACTGCTCTCTCTCTCTTTTGGCTGCATACCTGTAATTCCAGTTAGCAGTGTTTTTTGTGAATAGTAGTGTACTTATAGGTGTCTGCTTCTTTTAGTTTTCTAGCTTGGAGGCTGGCATTTCTTTCTTTTCTTTTTTTTAAATTTCTTTTTAGAGAGAGGGGAAGGGAAGGAGAAAGACAGGGAAAGAAACATCAGTGTGTGGTTGCCTCTCATGTGTCCCCCACTGGGTACCTGACCCGCACAACCTAGGCATGTGTCCTGACTGGGAATCGAACCAGCAATCCTTTGCTTCACAGGCCTGTGCTCAATCCACTGAGCTACACCAGCCAAGGTGAGGCTAGCATATCTTCATGATCAGCGTCAAATAATAATTGATTAAAAATTGAGAATTGTGGGCCCTGGCTGGTGTAGCTCAGTGGATTAAGCACAGGTCTTCGAACCAGAGGACTGAAGTTCTATTCCCAGTCAGGGCACATGCCTGGGGTACAGGCCGGTTCCCTGCAGGCCAGTTCCCAGCAGGGGACGCAAGAAAGGCAACCATACATTGATGTTTCTCTCCCTCTCTCCTTCCCCTCTAAAGATAAATAAAATCTTAATTTAAAAAAAAATTTGAGAATTGCTTTAGAGGTTGTACTGTAAGAACTATTAAGCTTTCTATTACTTGATTGGGAGGGCCGGAAGTCTCTCTCCTGTTCATAAGAGTACTGTTTTTGACAGATCACTGGTTTTATTTTCTAACTAATTTTGGAGTTATTTTATCCACACCAGAAATCTTGTTGGATTTTTTACTAGAATTGAGTTGAATCTATAACTAATTTGAATGAGAATGGATGTTATAGTGTTTAGTTGTCCCTTCAAAAAACTTTATCTTTTTCATTTGTTTATATCTTCTATTTCTCGGTGATGATTTATGGAGATTTTATATAGCTCATCACATTTGTTCAAAGATATTTTAAGTTTTTTTTATTGCAGTAGCTAGCTGATCCTTTATTATTTGATATTAGTGAGAAGCAGGAAAAAAATACTGACTTTTTTTAAAAAGACTTTATTTATTTATTTTTAGAGAGGGGGGAAGGGAGGGAGAACTAGAGGAAGAGGAACATCAATGTGTGGTTGCCTCTTGCACGCCCCCTACTGGGGACCTGGCCTGCAACCCAGACATGTGCCCTACTACACTGGGAATCTAACCATCGACTCTTTAGTTCACAGGCCCACACTCAATCCACTGAGTTAGTTACACCAGCCAGGGCAAAACACTAACTTTGATATAGTGCTCCTATATTTGCCCACCTTACTATTAATAAAAATCAAATATTATTTGGCTGTTTCATTGAGATTTTTCAAATCTGATTTCTCCTCTTAACACTGTGCATGAGAGATTGTCCCTTGTTCTTAATCTTACAACATGAGCTGGAAAAGTCTTTTTCCTCAGTCTTACCATAATGGCTGTTACTTCATGGAATACATTTGTACATTTAGAGAGGTTCAGATTTTTATTATTTTCAGAGAGAGGGGAAGGGAGGTAGAAAAAAAGGAAGAGAAACATCTGTGTGCAAGAAAAACATTGATTGGTTGTCTCTCACACGCCCCCCAATGGGGACCCAGCCTACAACCCAGGCATGTGCCCTGACTGGGACTCGAATTGGCAACCTTTTGGTTCACAGGGCAGCGCTCAACCCACTGAGCCACACCAGCCAGGGCAGATACTTTAAAATGATATTTATTTGTCTGCTTTTTATGAAAGAGGGAACTACCCAATAGTACATGATTTTCCAGTAATTTCATTAAAAAAAATTAGAATCTGCCCTGGCTGGGGTAGCTTGGTGGATTGAGCATGGGCCTGCAAACCAAAGGGTTGCTGGTTCGATTCCCAGTCTAGGGCACATGCCTGGGTTGCGGGCCTGATCCCCAGTAGGGGGCCTCTGAGAGGCAACCACACATTGATGTTTCTCTCCCTCTCTTTCTCCTTTCCTTCCCCTCTCTCTAAAAATAAATAAGTAAAATCTTTAAAAAATTTAGAATCTTTGTAGAATTTATTTTTATAAAAAGGGATAAAATACTTTTTAAAGTTAAACAACATTCATAAAAATAGAATACTACTTAGCAATAAAAAGGAACAAACTACTGATATATGCAACAATGTGGATAATTCTTAAAAAAATATATATTATGCTAAGTGAAAGAAGTCTTGAACAAAAGAGACCACACTATATGATTTCTTTTACATAGAAACTAATTTAGGGGGGCAGAAGACTCAGAACAGTAGTCGTCTCTGGGAGTTGGAGGAGGGGTTAACTGGGAAGAGGTATAAGAGAACTTCCCGGGGTGATGGAGTTGTACACACAAGATTTAGGCATTTTGTTGTATAGAAGTATTACCTTAAAAGAGTTAAAAAATGTCTTTATGGTTTGGGGGTTATCGTGGTGGTTTTCAGCGGGCCTGAGCTTGCCTGCAGTTTTTCTCAGCCCCCAGATGTTGGTGGTTCTTCTCCAGCAGCTGCCACCCTTGGTTGTAACGTTCTTAATTTTAGTGGGAAGTTTCAGTTGGCTTGTCACACAACTGTACCAGGTCACTGTGATGGGTTTGCCAGTGTCAGGAATGAACAAATCTGTCCGAAGAAAGTATCAGAAGCGCTTTTTTATTTTTAAACTATTTTAGAGGAGAGGAAAGAAGTAGAGCAGGCTGTTGTCTCAAATACCATCAGTTAGTCTGAAGTTTTTATGTATTGATTAAAGACCCAGAGAAAATAAAGAAAATGTTTTACAAACCTTGAAATCATGCAGAAGCAAAGGTTTCTATTTCATATAGTGAAGGCTCTGAGATTAGAAGAAGAAAAGAGAGGCGAGAGGATCCCCCATCGCTCACAGGGACCTCCGACAAAGCACCGCCCACTGGGACCTCCGACAAAGCACCGCCCACTTCAGTCCTTGGCTTTGCCAGGGGCGCAGCGGCGGCTCTGTTTGGTTCACTTGGCTGAAGGCAGCTGCTTTAGCTGCACAAAGGCGCTTACAGCTTAGCTTCTAAACAAACCCAGTCCTTTTAGCTTTAAGTCCTTTGCTTTCTAGTTGTCCTCTGACTAAAGCTGATTTTCTTCTTGAAGAAAGATCCTTTTTTATTTTATAATTTTTGTCACACTAAGTAGACTCACAGAGGCTTGGCAGTGCAGACCAGCAGAGGTGTTGTCGCCTCTTCCTCCTTCACTGGCTTCTTTTTTGCCCCATTGACCTTTATGGCTGTGACTAGAAGAGATAGAGATGACATTTTATGTTCCTGTCTGTAATTTACAAGGGCTTTCCTATAGGTTATCTAGTACATTTCTTTCTCTTTCTTTAAAGATTTTCATTTATTTTTAGAGCGAGGGGAAGGAAGGGAGAAGAGAGAGAGAGAAACAGCAGCGTGTGGTTACCTCTTGCAGCCTCCCCTGCACCTGTCCTGCAACCCAGGCATGTGCCCTGACTGGGGGTTGAACCAGCGACCCTTTGGTTTGCAGGCCTGCACTCAGTCCACTGAGTCACACCAGCTGGGGCTATCTGTTGCATTTCATTATTCTTCCTAAAGGATTTTGAGGGAGAAGAATTATTTCACCCATTATATAGATCAGGAAACTGAGGCTTATAAACAGCAACTTCTGGGAAGAATACAAGAGATGGAGTGCACACATGTGCATGTGTATGTTTACTAGCAGCTGATGGCAGTATGTGTCGTGCTGCTTTGGAGCTGGTCATATGATAGCCAGAGCTAGTTAGCACTCAAAAATTCCACAGTTGCAGCCAGAGAGGCCAGTTCATCTAATGAGTTCACAACAGTGGCACACTGTTGGCTCTCTTCGTGGGAGCTGGGGATTGGTCCCCTTTGAACAAAGCGGCAGTATATCATTGGTGGTTCTCCTCGGGCTCAGGTTGCTATGAGGATATCCGTTTTGGCAAAGCTCGCCCTTTAGGCTCTCTGGTTTGACGTCAGCTGTCTTTCCCGTGTTGTAGTCCGACCACCATTTGGATCGTAGTCCAGCTGCCATTTTGTCCTATCCCGCCCATCCTGACAGAGGTGGCAGCAGATCCCTCAGGTTAAGGGCTCAGTCCCACATGACAGCTCCCCACCCTCCTTCAAGAGCCAGTCATAAGTTCAGGTTGTCATCTGTGCTTCTGACCAATTGTAAATGTGAGGTTTCCCTGACCCACTAATTCAGGTAACTTGCTTAGAGGGCCTCAGCACTCAGGAAGACACCTTACTGCCCAGATTAAAGGTGTATTATAAAAGGATGTTATTCAGGAGCAGCTGGATGAAGGGAAGAATGAGGAGCTTCCGCACCATCGCTCAGCTTTTCCACGAGTTCGCCAGCCTGGAAGCTGTCCAAACCCCATCCTTCTCAATTTTTTGGAGACTTCATTATTTAGACACCAATGATTAAATCATTGACCTTTAGTGTTTGATTCAACCCTGGCCCTCTTCCTGAAGGGTTTTCCAAAAGTCACTCATTAACATAAACTCTTGCATTTGAAAGAGGCTTGTTGTGAATAACAAAAGACCCTTTCACATTTATCTCCGGACCTCTTTTAGGAACTGGCCACAAAGCTAATATTAAAATAAAAGATGTCCCTGTGTCTCCTATGTGGGAAATTTGTAAGAGTTTTTAAGAGCTACATGTCAGTAACAGCGGGTGAAGATCATATAAGTCATAATATCACATTAAGGCCCCAGCTAAATGGCTGGTAGTGCTGCCTCTTCCCTTCAGAAATAGTGCGTTCTCCCCCACAGTTTTGTAACAGTGAGGAGTTGTAACGCACCCCACCATTGTTTCTGTAAATGCTGACTCTAACTAATATGTAGCTTGTAGACAGCAAGTTTGTATAAGAATCCTAGAAACTAACCTCAAAAAATACAGAGTCTGACCTTCAGGCATCCCAGCTCCAGGAGATTTGCTGACTTTCATCCGTGGAGCCAGCATGACGCACACCGGACCATCACTTGCCTTATTGGAATGGACTGTGCTAGTTTGCATGTAGAGAACTTTTCAACCCCCTTTCTTGATCTCTTTGTTCTGTGTTCCCTTCTCCCCCTTGTAAAAACCTCTGCCTCCACTGAGAAGTGCAGATGGGCTTAAGAGTCCCCATCTCCCAGAGGCTGGCATCTGAATAAACCCCTTCGTTTGCATCAGCACCTAACTCTCAAGTATTGGAGTATTGGAGTATTGGCCTTCTGGCCTTCGTAGCAGCAGGCAGCTGGACGAAGGTAGCTGCCCTTAATGAGACTTAAGGGCAGGAAATGGGAAGGCAGACTGCGTTCGGTTTCATTCTCTCTTAAATTTGGTTATGCATGGGTAGTGTTGTTACCAAACTACTCCCGTGCTGGGGGCTGGCGCTGCCCCTGCGTGGTTCAGGGCCTTTCAGGACCTTTTGCATGTCAGGCAACCTCCAGGATCTTGACTAATGCAGGAGCAGTTTCAAGACACGAGCCCAGGTGACAGTGACAGTAAGTTTATTAAAGCTTGGAACAGCCAGGCTGGTGTAGTTCAGTGGATTGAGTGCTGACCTGCAGACCAAAGGGTCACTGGTTCAATTCCCAGTGAGGGCACATGCCTTGGGTGTGGGCCGGGTCCCCAGTAGGGGGCGCACAAGTGCAACAACACATAGATATTTTTTTCTCCCCCTCCTTTCCCTCTGTTTAAAAATAAATAAAATCTTTTTTAATAAAAGCTTGGGACAGTGAGGGAAAGTAAGGGCCCCTGTTGACAGGATGGGGGTAAGCCTGGGACAAGTATTGGAATTCTAGTGTGTTCTTGTCTGCTGATGCGTTAAAATGAGCGTATAATGGCATCTGGATCATTTTCTGGGTGGTTTTACCTTTATGTTGGATTAGCCTGGCTCTAAGTGGTTTTTGTTATCTGGCTCCTTGGCTGGTTATTTAAACCCCCTGCTCTTAGGCATCTGGCATCTTAGGTTAGGGAGGAGGACAGGGTCTGGTGATTTATTGGTTGGCTGTTAATTGCTCAGACATTCCTACCACGTGTTCAACTGTTCGTCTCAGTTTCCTCATTGCACTTGCCAGGGAGTTTTCTTAGTGTCTCAGTAACCTGCCTTAGTATCTTAATGAATTGAAAGAGTTACTTCACCATCAGAAAGCCTTGTATTGATCTCCCACCCCCACCGGAGACCTGACATGCCTCTAGACTCCCAGTGGTATGACTGACTTGTGTAACTCTCATACTCAGCTCACAGTGTGTTTACGTGCTGTGGGGGTTTTTGCAGCACAAATTGGATGTCGAGTTTCAGAAGAGACTGGAAAGGAATAAAATTGCTGCAGAGGAGCAGACTGCAAAGCGTCGAAAGAAGCGGTAAGGACTTTGTGGCCTCCCGAACTAATGAGACTTAAGGGCAGGAAATGGGAAGGCAGGTGGTGGTGAGTGGGCCTTGCAGTCAGAGGGTCGCCTGTATGACCTGTGAAGGTCTTGGGTGGCACAGCCCACCACGGAGCAGCCCAGTAGAGGAGTGGCTTTCCCCCAGTACCTGGGGAGAAGTCGAGTCACTGACTGTGCTCCTCCCCCAGCTTGTTACAAAGTCTGCACAACTTGGAGGTCAGCGCTTCTGTGATCGCGTGGATTTCACATCAGGTTTAACTGAGTGCTGTGAGTGAACCTCTCATGTAGCTTCTCCCTAGGGGAGAAGTCCGTATGTGACTGAGTGCACAGGTTGCATGTGTGTGTCAATAAATGCTGTCTTGTTGATGCAAGAAACATCCAAACCTGTAGGGAATTTTTATAAGAATGTATCAGCCAAACTGATGGCAGTTGCTGGGAAACAAGATCTTGAATGCTCCCCAGAACGGCAGTTTGCAGCTTCTTATATGCATTTGAAGTTAAGCAGGGAAGGAAGGTTAAATGAAGATGGAAGAAAGCAAGGTGGAGCCTGGATTGAATGCGGGATATTTACCAGTTTATGTGCTCTCTTGAGCCGGGATTACTTCTAAAAAGAGGCAGTCCAAAGTTAGGTTCACTTAGACACACTGAATCAATGGACAGGGCTTGCTTAAGGCAAAGATAAACCTTTTACTAAAGAAGTTATGTGCCTGGGGCCTGACTACCCACCAAGACCTGCCCAGTTAGGCGTTTATGATCATCAAATCACCCTGTGGTGTTACTTGGAATAGAACCCCTTTTTATCCACCCAGCACAACTCAGAAAGCTGAATATGGTTTCTTTATTTATTTTTAAGATTTTGTTTATTTATTTTTTTAGAAAAAGGGGAAGGGAAGGAAAGAGAGAGAAACATCAATGTATGGTTGCTTCTCACATGCCCCATGCCTGGCACCTAGCCTGTAACCCAGGCATGTGCCCTGACTGGGAATTGAACTGGCGGCCCTTTGGTTCGCAGTCCAGTGCTCAGTCCACTGGGCTACACCAGCCAGGGCTGACCAGGGTTTTTTTAAGTTGTCCCTACATATCTTAGAAGGAAGAAGCATCTGCCAGTATTTCTAGATTGTTCTAAGCACCTCAAGACTCCTGAGGATTTATCTTGATGCGTGAAGAAAACCGTTTGATCTCATTGATGTTAGAGTAGCAGAATCAAAAGAAAGTATTTCTTTCATTTTATTGTTGGTGTTTGTGTGATTATAAAGTGTTTAAAGGTCCTACAAGTAGATGTTCCTAAAATACACAATAAGCTGGCTAAGGAATTAACGTGTTTACATTGCAATTGTAGCCAGAAGTTAAAAGAGAAGAAATTACTGGCAAAGAAGATGAAACTTGAACAGAAGAAACAAAAAGAAGGTGAGTGGTACCCACTTTTCTTGGTCATGACCTTTGTTGGTGTTGCTCACAGAGGCTGACCTGTCAAGGATGAGATCTAGAATTTGAAACTGATTGGCTGGCCAGTGAAGAAATGAGGTTAGTTGGGTCTCATTTGATTGCAAGTGTCAGAAAGCCAAACTGGGTTAAGCACAGAAGAAAGATATCAGCTCACGGTAAGTCCAAGACAGAGCTTTCTTCAGGCAGAACTAGTAAAAGAGCTTCGAGTAGGTCTCCCTCTGTCTCCTGGCACCCTGTCCTCAGGGTGCCCTCCCTGTGGTTGTGAGGTCCCCGGGAGCTGTAAGCATGCCTCATTCTGGTCCAGTAGGAAGAAGTAAGGGGATGTCCCTAACAAAAGTGTTTTTGTGTCCCTTTGCCTCTGATTGAGTCACGTGGTGAATCAGTTAAGAACGCTTTTGGCTTCGAGAAACAGAAGTCCCAACTAGCAGTAGGTGAAAAGGAGTTCATTTTTCGTACATACAGGAAACCTGGTTGTAGGTGGCACGTTGAGCCTCTGATCTTGCTGATGTTCGTTTAGCAGGTGAGCGCCTGGCTGTGTTTGGAGCACAGGTTTTGCCCAGCCTTCGAGGGTTGTGGTTCCAGTGTCAGCTCAGTCTTCAAGCTTTGTTGTGCTCTCCGGGTGTGTCCTGCATGTGCTGCCCAGTGTCCAGTCAGAGTTGAGTTCTCTGAGTTTGGTTCTCAAAGCGTTGGGTATGGGGATTAGGGCCAGACTCACGTACCCACTGTCGGAGTGAGCCCAGGGGTTCGTCCACAGCTCTGTGGGGTCTCGTCTAATCTCCACCCGTCCCTGATCGCTGGTAGGTCTGGTCTCCCGGGGCCAGTCGGAAAACTGGGGCCTTAGTTACTCTGCCACACACTTCTGCAACCGCAGTGGCCCCAGGGCTGAGCAGTGGCCCCAGGGCTGAGGAGTGGGGTGACAGAAGGAAAGGCTACAGGAGCTTGCTCGGCCATCTTAGGACCACAGCTCCTTTGGTAGAGGCCCCTCCAGAGTTGTTGCCTGCCCGCTCAGATCACTGCGCAGTTGCCGCTGTCTCTGTGGCCCCAGTGGGCCTGCCCGGGAGGCTAGGGGGTGAGGGTGCAGAAAAGAGTCAACACAAGAATTTCTTACTTGTGGAACTAGACCTGGAGGGTTTCTCTTGGATCTCTGTCTGTCTGCGCCAGTCCCCACTTCTGAGTACTGGGTCACCCTGCGTGCAGACTGGGGGATAGTAGGGGAAAAATAAAAAACTGCAAACTTAGTACTGTTTTTGGACACTGTATTCTTATCTCTTTCTCCAGTCTGCTTGCTTTTCAGAATCTGCGCTTTCTGTCCAGGTTCTGCGGTTGTATTCAGTCGAGAGGCGGGTGTCCGGGTTCTGTGGTTGTATTCAGTGGAGAGGTGGGTGTCCAGGTTCTGCAGTTGTATTCAGTGGAGAGGCGGGTGTCCAGGTTCTGCAGTTGTATTCAGTGGAGAGGCGGGTGTCCAGGTTCTGTGGTTGTATTCAGTGGAGAGGCGGGTGTCCAGGTTCTGTGGTTGTATTCAGTGGAGAGGCAGAGTCGGATGTGCTTCCTGTGTCTTACCTGGAACCTTTTTTTGTTTTTTGAATCCAGACTCAGGACTTTACCTTGAACTCTTCTGCATTTTAACTTGATGTTATTGGCTCTTTGGATTCTGGTTTCTAAAACCCTTTCGGATTCTGAAGTTCATCATGTTCCTCTTTCTGGTGTTGTGGGTGGGTTTGATAAACACGCCTCCAAAATGCGGAGCCAGAGTGGGCCAGAGCCAGAGCCCTCCCGCAACTACTAGAAAGTTCCATGTAGGCTGGCCCAGACCTTTTTTTTAGACTCTTTCAGCGGAATTAGTCTCCTGCTAAGAGTCAGCTAGACTCTCACTTCATCTCACCACAGAGGCGTGCTAAGGAACAAAGAGGTAATTTGAGGTCATGGAGTGAGTACAGTAGGTAGGAGTTCTAAGCTCAGCTCTCACTCTGGCTCACCCTGGCTTCTGTTTGAGCAGCTGTTTATGTTTTGTTTTTCAGCTTGTAAAATGATAAATTCTTTTTAGGTCTAAAATTCCGCAATTTGGTACCTTTGCTATATGCCTTGGTGTAATGAAGATGTGCCATACTGCAGAGGGGGGCTTCCCTCACCAGTACATCTAAGGGCCCTTTGAGAACAAGAAACAGACGTTATTTTGCCCTGAGTTTGCACTTGGCCTGTGTTGGATCTTTGGAATTGCATATTAACTTTTTAGTAGTTGGTCCTAGAATTGAAAGAGACAGGCGGCAACATCACAAAACTGGTGTCTTAAATTCTCATCTCCTCACCCTTTTTAGACATTAATTTGCCTGATGATATAAAGACTATTTGAGATCATATAACATTTAGTATCAGGCAGATTTTACCCAGAGCCTTCAGTTTGTTTAAAACGGCCACGTGCCCTCGCACTGCGTCCCCTGGTACCAGTTCCATCACGTCGTGGGGTCACGCTGTAGTGGCGCACTGCTGTTTCCACACTGAGGGCTGTGACCCTGTACCCACTGGGTCATGAAATGGTTTCAGAGGTTGCAGCTGCTGTTGTTTTCAAACATAAAATAGGTAAGAAGATACCAGAGTGCTGACACTTCAAATCAGTATTTTGTGGAAATTTCTTTCCGTTTCTAAGTGGGCTGTGGGCTGCGGGCTTCAGTCAAACAAACTTGACAATCGGTGTAGTGCATGGGCTCTGCCTGCTCTTATACTTAACTGTGAACTTAGAACCTGCACATATTTTTAACAATCAGTAATTTACCGTGCGAGGTTGCACATGCTTCCTAGCAGATGAGCGGTGTAGAGAATGGTATAGGGATAACCGTCAGAGAAACAATGGTTTGTTTCCTTCCTTAGTTTTCATTTCGTGAAAGAGAAAATAGATTTTCTAGCTGTTGGAAATGTATGGAAGTGTAATGCTGTGATACTCCATCGGGCCACAAGGTGGCTTCTGTGTGCTGCTGGCTTCTTGTGGGGCTTGGAGGTAAACCACTCAAGCTGTTTTGGCTCTTCTCCTGAAAAGCAGTGAGGGCAGCTGGCGAGGAGTTCCGTTCTATTGTAGGGGAGGAAGTGTCCCCAGTTATTGTTGGTGCTGGTCCAGTAATTTAGTGGAGACTCCATGCAGCATGGAACTTGTGTCTGAAGGACACCATGGGGTCGCATTCAGCCAATTTGGATCATTATGAAGCCTTGAACTTCCAAAACGATGTATTCCAACACCAGTGTTACTTATCCTAACATGGACCTGCCTACCAAAAAAAACCAGGATGACCTTAAGGTCATTTGTTCCAGGTGCCTTGAGAGCAGGCTGTCACCCTCAGCACCGTCTAATTGACGTTCTGGGCCAGGTAGTTCTTTGCTGTGAGGGGCCGTGTCCTGTGTCTAGATAGTATGTTTAACAGCATCCTGGCCTCTGCCCACTAGATGGCAGTAGCACCCATCCTCCCCTCCATCTCTGACCGACAGAAACAGCTGTAGATGTTGCCGGATGCTCCCTAGCAGGGGAGGGGTATGGAGTCACCCCCAGTGGGAACAGTTGGTATCTGGGGTTCGGAAAGCACTCGCTAGTGTGTTTTGGATGCAGCTCTTCGCTTCAGTGACAGAACTCTGATCTGTGTTGGAGAACTATTCGTATCCTTTGTATCTTTTGACAATAAAGGTAATGATCATTTGATAAGTTTTGAGTATGCCAAAAATAATAAAATATAAAATTATCCATAATTCTTACTAAAAATCACTTTAATATTTTAATGACATTTTAAATGTCAATTTAAAATATATGTTCCGTTTTCAAATATATGTTATATAAATCTATTCCTATATATACCACATTTATGGTTGTCCTAATTTTATAATTAAAATTGTATCAAAAATATTTTCTAGTTTTGGCTGCTGTGACTCAGTGGATTGAGTGCCAGCCTGTGAAGCACAAAGGGTTGCTGGTTCGATTCCCAGTCAGGGCACATGCCTGGGTTAGAGGCCAGGTCCCCAGTAGGGGACACATAAGAGGCAACACCACATTGATGTTTCTTTCCCACTCTTTCTCCTTCCCTCCCCCTCTCTCTAAAAAATAAATAAGTAAAATATTTTTTAAAAATAAATAAGTGAAAATCAAAATAAAGAAATAGCAGTTAACAGAATGATAGGAAAAGCCCAAATACCATTCTAACAGGTCACATTTCTGTTTTCTTTTCATCTCTTCATATGCATATGTCATTTGTATGTAGTTATAACATGTGTGAACAGTTTCCCGATCTGACTGAACAGTATAAGCGTAGTCCAGTTTTGTATAATTCTTCGAGTGACTGATCGTATCCAGCAGTTGACGCGGCGTGGTGCACGCAGCCTTTTCCTTTCTGTTGGGCATTAGGTTGGCTCCACTTTTGTCCCTTCAGAAGACACTTGAGTGAACACTATGTGTCTGTCCCCCTCCCCCTTTCTGGGCATTCTCCTTAAGATAAACTCCCAGCAGTGGGAATGAGGCGGTCAGAGCATAGGAAGGGTCCGTGGCTCTTGGAAGGCAGCACCGGTCTTTGCTGTCATCGGCAGCGTGCTGCTGTGCACACTTCCCCGTAGAGATAGGAATGTGACTTCAGAGGAAGTTACAGACTCAGTGAGGATTTAGTAAAAACCATACAGAAATACAGATTCACCTGCCCTGGCTGGGTAGCTCAGTTGTTAAGAGTTTCGTCCTGAGGAGCCAAGGTTGTGGGTCCAATTCTCCAGTCAGGACACATACAAAAATCAACCAATGAATGTATCAATAAGCTGAGCAACGAATCTACCTCTCTCTCTCCCCCCACCCCCTTCTCCTCTTCCTCTCTCTCTCTTCCTCTTCCTCCTTTGTCTCTCTCTTTCTAAGATCAATAAATTTTTTAAAATTTTGCCCTGGCTGGTGTGACTCAGTGGGATGAGTGCCAGCCTGCGAACCTAAAGGTTGCCGGTTCGATTCC